TGTATAATCTTTATAGATTGACATGAAAAAGTACTTTTCTTTAGTTTGCCATAATTTTTCGGTAGACTAGATATAACACAGTGATCTGAGTTCAGTTATGGTACTTGTTCCATGTGTGCTGAGTTCATCATGGAAGACGAGGGGAAAAACTGAATAGGCTTCTGTGACCAGACGAACTGAGAAAGCTGTAGTCACAAGAACTAAGATCACCACACAGAACACAGGAGCTGCAAATCACATGAATTTGTTAGAAAATCGAGATAGTTCAGAGTAGCTTCACCTGAGTATAACATAAATTTTGTAATGTAAGTGAAATCACATTTGTCCAAATGTTTGGAAAAACAGTTAATAGTAATATAGTCAATGTTGTCGCCTTTTCAGGTGAAATAGATGTAATTCGATTAGCTTCATTGGTCTATTGGTGAAGTTAACTACATCTCAACCCCACCTTTTTGTGGAACTACAGCAATCCTGACGGAACATTCTGAAACCTTTTAGGGACTATAGACATTAGGGTTGTGCAACCAAGTTTTTTCAGTGTTGGTACACTAGCAATGTGATAAATACCAGAAAATAGAAAAGTTTATTAATCTCCCATTTAACCCAGAAGAGATCAGTTCCAGTTGAGTATTTCTGGTAGAGTCATTTGATTTAGCTGTTTTCCCTTATGGCGTGTTCCCACCCACTTTTATATTTCTTTATTTCACTCCAAAAATCATAGCAATAGGCTGGTAACCTTAAGAATTTGCATAAGTATTGGTATGATTCAAGTATATTATTGGGCAACTACATCAAAGTAAAACAGAGTGAACCTGATATAATATACAGGCTAGAAAGCCTGATAGCTCAGAGATATGAGCAAACCGCAGAAAACATATCAGACTACAGCAAAAAACTCAACTCCTGGGCCATAACATAGGTCATGCTATACAAGTCACACAACTCGGATGAGATTAGGAGAGTACTCAGCAAGAATGAAACACCATAGTTTTCCACAAAAAACCAAATACTACAAAGCTTTTTGGTCGATAAGAAGGAAAAGATTTCCCAGGATTCCCAACCTAATGATGTTTATAAAACAAAAACCTTGGATCCCATTGCAGTATGCACAGGACTGACTTCTCGTAAAATCAAGGTTATAAAGACCGAACTTCGAAGGGCCTCCACCTGACCCTCTGGAAATTCAGTAGGGTTGGAAAAACTTGAAAACACTTCAACAATAGCGTTACATGCTATAATTTAGGGTCGGAAGTTCAGTTCTGTCAATGTGGAAATGATTTGGAAAAGCCTGAAATTTTCTAAGGAATGCCTCAAAGCAGAATCTGACATGGATGGCAATAAAATTTCCTTAGTTGCGAATCACTTTAGCAGGAATTTTGTGATTTGTAAAAACTTAGGCAGCGGGTTCGCACATTCATTGGGAAATACAAATACAAAGATGATGAGTAAGTCTACTTTGTCTCAATCTTCCCCTCCCCTGGCACGCAGACATAACCAGTACACATACGATAACAACTGTTAGCCCATTAGAATATGCAAAATTCAATCTGCAACTCACACTGCCATCGCACTTAAGATATTACACATGTTTGTCATATTTTTCGAAAACTTGATAACACGGAACCATCCATGCAGAAAGACTCATATCAAATTATCATATGTATTAGTTTTGATATTCTTAATACTGGTCAACCATAACTTTGAATAAGCCATTAACAAGAAACAGAGGAACGTGATTCGAAGTAACCGTGATTAGTTTTTGATTCACTGGTGATATCAAAAACTCTAATAATGAATATCATTTACACAATGCCAAAAGTTTTTAAAACCAATTAATTTTTTGCTTTGGTCCTAACGTCTATAATTCTTTTCACTCAATTTATTTGTACTAATGTCTTACACCTCACTTTTAATAGTGAAGCGTTGTGGGACAAAAATCTGTGAAAGTAGCTACTTTTGGTGAGATCATATTCACTTGAATTCGAAAATATCCTGCGGAAAAACTTTTTCTCATGAGTATGATGCCATTCTGAATTTTTATCCAACTTAGTAGCACTTTTCCTTCTATGTTAAGTAATTTTTAGTGGATTATCGAATGATCTTGAGCAAACAATGAAGATCGAGGTAATGGAACGACTGTTCACCAAAATACAGAATGATCCTCACGAACCAAATCTGCACAAGTTGATTGTGGATGTGTGTTCAAAAACTATATTAAAGTTGGTATTCGTCATAGACTGGTATCAACTGGAGAACCACAGAAACTTGAGAGTACTGGATAGTTGATTTGTCCTAGTATGGGAAATCTTGGCATACCCGCCCATTACCCCTCCAGGGGTCGGACACAGAATCTTCTTCAGGTTTCGTGGTGGGCACATTACAATTAAGCCATTGGGTCGAAATACGTGATCCACATTTTCTTGCTTCTGTCAGTTCGCAAAATAAGGTAACCTTCATCTAATGCTATCAATAAATACATCTTTCACGTTCAACTTCGTTTTCTCAACAGGTCACTCCTTCTCATTAGGACTTCGGGAAATCTTATTCTGAAGTAAGCCTCTTATGAGCACCAGAGCACTAGGATGAAACAGCTTTCCAGTGCTCCCAGGTTCTGAATGGTCCGCTAGCTGATGGCAGTCACTCATGAGTACAAGTATTGAAATCAATAAATCCTCACAAACTTTCAAATTGAATATGATGTTTTGGCTCAAATATTTTGAGCCCAACTATCGAATCAACAAACCGTAATATATAAATCATCACGCTAAGATCACAGGTTTTAACAGCTGTTATAAAAAGGTTTAGATAAGCGTGTCCTAGTCAACAAAAGACTTGCGTGAGAGCCATTCAATTCTAAATGCTTTTTCAAATCGAAATTCAGCATTTTATCAGTTAGTGCTTGCGCAGTGAATTACAGCCCATGATTTTCTATAGTGATTTCTAAATTATTCTGTCTACCCTGAAGTTAGTACGTGGAAACAATCTAAAATAAACATGAATAAAGATATAGTTATGTGTACACAATTTAAATCCTAAGCTTCGATAAAAGCTATTTTAACGGAAAAATAAAACAGTCAGTTGCATACAACAACCTATAGCTTACAATAAAATCAATATCTAGGTGCATTTGATTTAATTTTGGTTTCACTTTGTTATATGAATCTGATTTTATGAAATAACCGTTGTTGTACGCTGAATTATAACTTACGTGTAAGTAAACACAAATAAGTCACTCATTTTTCACTCCATAAATACCATTACTTTCCTTAAGGCTAACAAATAAACACAGCTAACATGTAAACTTCCATAGTTCAGCGTGTACAGCCTAGACAAGGTAAATGACATCAGTTAATTTTTGAAGTACCTTTTCTTCCCTCATTCGTTGTATAGAACTACTGGAATAACCAAACTGCTTCGCATGAAGATGACAATAACTCATAACATTTTGAATATAACGTTGACAAAGCCTTGTGTATATAATGTACTATATATAGACCAAAGAAATAGCTAGGAAGTTGCGTTATAAGTTTTTTCACAGAAAATCTCTGTATGTCGTCAACAGAAAATCTCTGTAATCTTAGGGAAGCTTATGCTTCATCATGAATTCAAACTTGCAACACCTAACACCCAAAAACTTCAGAAACAATTTATTCCTTTTCCAAGTGATTCCACGTAAGCCTGGATTGTGTCGACGAAGTGTAAACTAGATGGCAACTGTTTTAAATTCTTGGCAATGATCAGAGTCTCTCAACCTAATTCACAACAAGATGCAGCACTGCAACAAACTGTATTTTGGTGTTAGATGTCATAAGAGTATCAATTGAAATCTCTAAGACAAAGGTTTAGGCCAAATGATTTCCCACAAGGTGAAAGATACATGTTTCTGATGACCACGAACCGATATAACTTAGTTAAGTGACCACACTACACAAATGTTCGAGAAACACCAATCAGTGCTCAGTATGTAGTATATCAATCGTTGACCTATTCGTAAGCAGGTAAAAATGCCAATTGGGTAATTAACTTGATCTACAATCACTGCTTGTAGTGCACAACACTAAAATAACGTTTAGCTTTTCCCGTCAGTCACTAAACCCCTTTGTCGAAAGTAATTTCAGTGAACTTTTATTCCCTTACACTGGTTTTATAATATTTGGCTAACTCATTGGTTAACATAGATTCACTAGTCACCCTTACTTATCACGCACGCGTAATTATATTACAATCAAGTGAACTTATGTCTTACTTGATTAAGTAAAAGAAAAGATTGGTTGCTCAACCCTCAGTAATCTGGTAAACGCCATAAATCCATAACAGGTATTGGTGAAATGATAAAGGATATCAGTAGCTCACGTGGATGATTCTGGCTATGTTGCGTTCCCCGGTTTGGATGACTTAATTCAACTCAAAGAACGCAAGACAACCAAAATAAAGATTAACTCAAAGCTATTCTCGCTTTTTATTTTTTGGGGCTTTAATAGGGCTTCAGAAATCACCTCTCATACTTCTCACTACCTGTACTAAATAGCATTTGGAAGGCCATTTTCTGAAAGTCATTAAGTGACTTTTGCTAAGTTGGTGTGTGTCGCACATACTTAAGTAACAGAAGTGAGCTTTTACTTAGCCAGTGATCAAATCCTATCCTTTTGTTAAGGCTAATTCACAAAAATTATCAGAATGTAAAATGACTAATCGAAATGATGCGAATAATGGAATAAAATCTTTTATTCTGATATCCAAGTGGATACGGTATTCATTGATGAAACTCTCGTAATCATACTCTGAGTAACTGATCTTCACCAAGTGTCAACCACTTCCACTGAAATCTATTAGTTAAGTGTTTCAGAAACTAAAGCACTATATTTTACTTTCTATTGATCTATAGTAGGAAACAACTTTGGAACATTAATAATTTATTTAACCAATCACATACCTAATATCATTGACCAATTAAAACTTAAAAACGTTTACAAAAGAAATATACATGAATGTAGACATTTACTCTATTATTTATTTCCATAGAATCACAATTGTCTTCAATGCACAACAAGTCTTTGTAAAGACTTGACTTACAATATATCACAATCACATGTAGAAATGTAGTATATTTCTCCAAAATATTTTACTATGCATATGTTAAACTCGGATCCATTCAATTTTATTGGATTTCCTCAAAGTGCTTCAGAAATAATCTACAACTGTGCAGATTATCACCAAAGGTTATTGAAGTTAAATTATGCAAAATTAGAAGGTATAACTTACTACGAAACCGGTAATGATGTTTATCAAGGTGATCCAGTTGTCAGTGTTGATACAATTAGAATTAATTATCTGAATGAAACACACTCTTCGACGATTAACTCGAATTGCCCTGGACTAAGAAGTCAATCTACAGTTGCGCATATAAGTATGGCGGTGGCTACAATAACTATGCTTGTTCATTTTATTATGGTCATCATTATCAGTAGTGGCTTGAGAAAGTTGTATGGGATTTGTTTGTCAATTGTGATCCTTTTCAATGCATTACATAGCGGTGTATTGTTCGCTAGTGCATACATGCCAAAAACGATTATTTTCAATTTAACTGAAACAGAAATTAAATATTTTGTTGAGAAGAAATTATTTTTCAACTGTTGGTTTATGGATATATTAACGCATTATCTTATTCTGTCGATATATACTGGTATCTTTTTCGGTTTGATTGAGAGATATCGATGCACAAATCATTGTTTCAAACGTACATCCATCTTTTCAAAATCATGGAGGTTAAAATCACTTAACTGGTCATGCAGGAAACAGAAAGGACGGGATACATCAAATGAAAAGATACAAAACGAATGGGTTGCTCATTCGTATGCAACCACCAGTAAAGTTGATCATGATGATACTGTCCAAAAAACTCTGTGTGACACCAAGGTTAGAAATGAATGTAAAACATTTAAACAATTAGAACAGAATTTACATCGTCAAGAAAGAAGAACAAGATTTGTCGCGTCAAAAGATGGAGGCTATGAACAAAACAAAGGTAACACAAATATAATTCCACGCCTTATTATCAATGATGCCAGTATACCCAATAATCGTAGATGGAATATCATTATAATAGTCAGTGTCCTGTGTTTACCCCTTCTACCAACTAGTTATGGAATTTGGGCTTCATCTTATCTGCGTCTGAGCAGTGTGTGGAATCCTTCTTATGGAATTATTACATGCGGTAATCTAGGAGGATGTTTAGCTGCTCATCAGTGGTTAATGCATGTACCAATCGCCTTCTTGTGTCTTGCAACTGTGATTCTAATTATTTTGATATCAATCAAAACTCATACAAACTGCCTTATACAAGATCAGTTTTCATCTCAACCCCTGGATTCCAATGCACGTTTCCGCATGCTTACTAAGATAGCTATTAGTCATACAGTTGTATGGATTGCTGCCTTTATATCAAACTATATATGTCATGCTGCGGCATGGCAATTCTATGGACTTGTTTTAGCCTTACAAAGTCTTTACATTATTGTCAGTTTTACATTTTCTCGACCATTTCTAGAAGTGATTTTCAAACGTGATGATCCTTTGGCACGGTTAAAATTAGATAATTTAGCTATGCAGTTACCTTTGGGTGTATTTCGAAGTCATGTAACAGTGTCAACTTCAACAAACACCAGTAGTACAAAAAGTTTCCTTATCAAATAATTCTTGAAAAATAAACTTGTGAATAATGGATGTACATACATAGAATTTTTTTTTTCTGAAAACATCTTACCAACTGCATTTAGATTTCATTTCTATGGTCTGCTTTCCGTTTTGTAAATTTATGCCATTAGTGTCCACAAGTAAGGATTATGATTCATTGTGATTTTTTGGTTTAACCGATGGCTTGTGTTACTTTCGAGTATTTATTTGACAGTTTATAGTTTTTGAAGTATTCATCGTCCTTTGTTGCTTTCTCAGTAAATCACTTGTGTGGATTATCAATGTGAAATGTACGAAATCCAGGTTGTTGATTGCAACAAAATATTGAAATGAGTAGAAAATTAGTTTTAATAGCTAAAACAAATGGCAGTAAATCATTTTGTCAGGTAGGAAATATGAAAGATTGTGGAATTTTTTCTAATTACTATAGCGAATTTATAAAATATGCTGAAGGCTTGTAAATAAAATATTTGGGTCTACAGTGTATCTTCTTGTTATGAAAAAGTGACATCCATTCACTACGAAGATTACATAATATATTGGTAAAAAATGTGATCCATCAAACAAACACCTAATTATCTGTTGGATTATTTGGACAGAATTAATGCTCCGCCTCACCGTGGATTCATTACTTGTAAGTAATTTTGAGATTTTTGAAACCTTCCACTTATTTTAAACCTTAGAAAGTAGTATCAGGTTAGGAACTTTAAATTACAAAGATCCTGGCATTGTTTAGAAATTCAGAATTTTTCCGTTTGCTGGACACTTTAAAAAAATACATGTCAAGAGAATGGAACTTACAAACCACTTTACTGCATCAAGTATTCGAGTTGCAGTTTCGAAAAACTGACTATATTCACAAACCTTCAGCTTGAGCATTATGTAATTGTGTAAAATGAGTTAGACTGTTGCAGTCCTTATGAAAAAGACAATTTGATAAAACGTGTGCTTACATGCACTGTAACTTCTTATATGTTATGTTTGCCGATGCCGGTATTATCTGTATAAATAATAGCACTACAAACATCCTTATAGTAAATTTTTCTCACTGGTATGTGTAGCAAATGTACAAGTATACAAATTTCAAGATGGCAGCACACAGTACATGAAACCCAAGTCTTTCATGGAGACTTCTTCATAACTTTAAACATAACATGCAATTATAAGTAAACTATAAGGAACATATTTCAAATTAGAAACTTCTAATCAGTTTTTTGAAAATCAAGTCATTTACGCTTAAAAGATAAATCTCATTCTGTTAGGAATGACTTGTAATACGACGTGCCTTATTGGTTGACTGACGGTTAGAATTATGAACTATCACCAACAGGTTTATTTTTGTACACACTGACATTACCTATGTGTGTGAAGTGTTTAACATTCTGAGACCGATTATTCAACAGTTTACACTGACAAAACGTTTAGGTTGTATCTCAACCTAAAACAAATTTCCATACTCACTAAATGCGACAAATTATCACATCACAGATGATGATTAAAAATCATTAATGAGTTACCTTACCAACACTGAAAAAACCTAATAATATTCACCATCAGTCTAAGAAAGATATTATGATGACGTTTGTTAGTAGTTTTGACAAACTTAGCGTTTGTTTGTCAACAGATGGCATTTGGCAAGCAGACAAATAATTTTTCAGCTGGATCAAATACTAGCACTTAATGAATAACATGAAGTTAGAATGGATTAAACTTGGTGGAATAACCATATTCCATGGTTAAATTTTAGTTATTCGTGTTAAGCGTAGTAAAAATAAGGATATACAGTGGTCAGTGGATCAGATAATGTCACATGCCCAACAACTCATTAAAGTGTCCATTGTTAGCGTACTTCTATTTCATCGGTGCCCTGTCTAAATCCAGGATTACCAACAGTTTTTTCCACGGACTATATTTCATCACATTTTCCCCTTCCTGTTTGTTTGAGTCGTTTAAATATGTCTTCCAAATGTATCATGTACTCTAGTACCCATTTCAAATATTTTCAAACTTTCTTTTCTCAAGCTAAGAACGAAACAAATAAAAAGCATTCTGCCAGATGAAAATCGATATATATAAATCCTCAGGTGAACAGATCAATACTATTCTTAGGATACCTTTATCGAATTAGAGATTTTTGTAATGGTTGACTGAAATACGACCACCAAAATTACACTTGGTTTTCTATTCATCCCCGAGTTTAAACCAGAGGTTAGTGTAACAGCTGCTACTCGTTCCAGATTAGTGCCCTTAATACCTTTATTAATAAAACTATTCAGATGCAACAATGTGAATGGGGAGCGTATTTGTTAAAATATTACCTGCAGAAAATTTCAGTGTATCACATGTTTGCAATAAAGCGATTATTATTGTTATTATTATTAGCTTAAAGTTTTCGCCCACAATCAAACTTATTTAATTTTTTTGGAAAACAGAATTCAGGTTATCTTACACCAAGATGCTATGAGAAATCCATTTGTCTTACTTTGAAAAACACCTTAGACGATTACATCTACCCCAGTTTTATTAGCCATAGTTTAATTCTAACTGAAAAGGCAGAAATACACCGTGGGTAAAAGAAATTTATAGTCAAATAATATAACATTGTATCAATCAGATCAATCGAGAAACTGAAATCATTTACATATTGCCTAACTAAAGCATAGCGCCTCATAAAAGTAGAAATCAGCTCCATAAACACCTGTAATGATGAAGCAGAAAGACAAAAAATTGATGAGAGAATTGGCAAAAAAGAGGACTTACTGCCACCGTGCAAGGTAAAATGAACCGTGTGTCTGAAAGTGCTCAGTAAAAAGGAAGTCACCATAGAATAACCAGTGATGTAAGCGACATACAAATGTTTGTTTACCAGCAAGCACTAAACCAGACTCTGTAGTTGATAAGCTACGCGAAGGATGATTCGTTAAGACATTCTCATTTTGCGTGATGTTCAGATGCATTTACCGGATTACTCACTACCGTTAGATGATAATGTCGATCAACTAAACTCATTCGTGTCCTAAGACAGCTTCTCGGCGGTTGTTCGACAATAGTGAAAATTTTGGTAGTCTTAGTTAGATTAATCAGAGCCATTAATCTAAGTAATCTTTAGGCTGAAGTATATAAGCTTTAAAAGAATCCAGTTCGTCACTGAGGTAAAATGGAGGTATCGGTGTTGCACCTTTTTTTCACCACCCCAATTATTGCTCCATCTTTTGTCAGTATAAAAATTCCACTAACCCTTCTTAAACAACTTTTACTAACCTAATACCTAACTTGTAAACTACTTTTAAATACAACTATCTTGTGAAAATTACCTAACGAAAATGAACTTTTAACTACTGAAATTTGCTTTAAGTTAGAATTAATTTTGATGAATTTCCCCACCCCCTTTACAGTTATTGAAAAGGTCCAGTTTACACATTTTGATTTCCATTCAGAGGTTTATAGAGATATATTTATTGATCTCAAGTTGGTATTCTTCATACACTGACATCATCTGAAAAGCCAGTGAAAATATTGGAGCATTGAAGAGCTGTTTCAACACAGAATGGGACTCCTCAGCAGTACATGCCCACGACGCCGATAGGGCGGTGGAAGCCTGCTCAGAACAACATCTAGTATCCCTTGAAAGCATTCATCTAAACAGGTGCTTTTGTCCACATGCTTCTAGGCTTAAAGGTCCAATAAATATGCCTTATGTCTTTCATTGACTAACGTTTCCCTTAGTTGTATCTGTCCACTATATTGCTAAAAGTAGTAGAATATGTTTTTTCATAGTTGCATCACAGAACGTTTCATGTAGTTTATTCATGACTTAAAAGCCTAGTGAATTTATTGTTACTGAGTAACTATCAGTAATCTCCTACTATTATAGCACATAACGCCACTGATTTATATTATTTTTTCAAATCGACAATCGAAATAAAGCGGTGAATTTCTTATACATTTGAATTCTTAAAATTAATTTACAAAGTATCCCGAGGTCCCAAGTTAATGTTGACCCAATGAAGAGAGGTATTAATTTGTTCTGGTCTACTTTACAACAGTCAATTTGAAGCAGATTTCCATAAGTAAATATCAGTTAATTAGTAAATTATTTAAGGCTAAAAAAATCTCAAGGTCTGTCACCATGATAGGCTTCTGACTCAAAACTTGCAGATACAGTTATCTTGAGAATCTGTCGGGCTGTTTCTAGACATGCTAACAAGTTTTTTCTCTTCAGTAAGAATAATTTTAACCTTCGTGATACTGTGAAACTTATGTATTTAAGTGTAGAATATTTAAAGTTTTTCGTCTATTACATTCTCGAGGCGGACACATTAAACATCAAGAAGCAATAAACAATAAGTTGTGCCAAAGCAACTTAAAAAGAGATGTAAACAAATACACTGTCTGATTAACTGCTATCGGAATCACTTATATAATACTACTACTACTACTTGTCCCATGGGTTCCTAGTAGAACATAGGGCCTCAGTAGCACGTCTCCAGTGCACTATGTCCTCTGAAAACTTTTGAACCTGGCTCTACGACAGCCCACAAGCTCTCATTTCTTTCTCACACTATCTCTTCCATGTCGCCCTCGGACGCCTAACTCGTCGTTTCCCATCTGGGTTCCACTCGAGTGTTTGCGTAAAATGTACCAAAAGAACACCGTATTCCCTGAATATTTAAGCTTTTACTCTTGCTACAAATAACAATGACAACCTCCTCCTTAATTCATCAGTCAATGTTCAGTCTACTACAGTACTATATATCCGAATATCTAACCTGCATTTATAATTTACGCTCCACAAGGTAAGGTTTAAAAGTTAATCACTGGCATTATTTTCTAGAAACGTTATTCTGCTTTTGAAAATATAAATGAATTAATAGTTTTGTTGGATAGATATATAGCTAGTGACCTTAGAAATTAGAATATCATTAAATATTTCATTTTCTCACCCTATGGCCTAAAAGAGCAGATAGGAGGTAGGAACAGTTTTCGGGATGAACTTTTATTCAGTAAACATGTAAATACTAAATAATACTCCAAAAATGACTGTAATTTGTAAAACTAACATATGTATATACCATGATTTCATGTTAGTGCTGTATTTTATAATAAACAAGTTATAAGCTATCGACCTGAATAACAGTAAATCACATCAATTACATGACTAGCTTTAATTTTTCAGTTAAGTACCAACTACTTCAATAATTGTAACCTAAGAACCATATAATGTTTCGGTCCATTTAGGGATTCTGACTGCACAGCCAGTTGGTGAAAAATGCTCATGCGTTTTTTTGCTTTCCAACTTTCATATAATGAACTTTCCGTCACTACCTACTTAGTGTCAGTAAAAACTGAAGAAAACGTTGAGAATCATAGAAGGCAATACCAGAGGATAATGTAATGTAACAACTCTTCAAACACCAGAGAAATCCGAATACCAAGGAAAATACCCACTGGCATGAACCGATTTCTAATTCTGCTTAGTG